TATATATATGTATATATATATATATATATATATATATATATATGTACTTTTTTTACTTTAACAGAATAATGTGTTTATTATAAAACTAGGTTTGAGGCATGTTGTTTCAGGGTTTTCTTCAGGACCTGTTCCTTCAGCACAGGAAGTCCATCACCCCGGAGAAGCTGGAGGAGTATACTGCTGCCATGGTAACGGACCAGCCTGGAGAAGAGACACCTGAGCTGCTCAGTGACTTGATGCTGATTGGTGTTTTGAATTTTCTCTTTCTGCAGATGAAGATGTTTGACAAAAACAACGATGGCAGACTGGATTTGAACGACTTGGCCAGGTGCTCTTGTTCTGAAATGTGATGGAGAGTTATGAGTTTCCTGCAGAAAAATGTGCAAATTATTACAAAAAAAAACAAAAACAAGTTGATTATCATTTTCATAATTTAATCCATAGTTTACTTAAAATTGTGTCCATGTGAGTCATTTTTTTTATTTTTTCATGTTTTATTAAATTTGTTTGTTTGTTATTAAAACTCAATACTTGTCTCTTGACTTAAATTTATCAGGTCTTATTGATTAATTAGTTTTATTACAAAAATATAAGTTCTATCCAAAACAATAAATGTGTGTCATTATATGACAAATCCCTGGATAATATTTTAAATTTCATTGTTTGTTTTAAATAATTTGTTTATTTCTTTATTTCTTTTTTCTTCAGAATTTTGGCCTTGAAAGAGAACTTCTTACTGAAATTTAAGATGGATGTAAGTTAGGAAAGATAATCAAATTTTTCAATTGTGCATGCAAAAACATTAAACCATTCAAGTAAAGAAAGTCTCTGTTAGATTGGTAATGAAAATGAATTTTTTCACTTGTTTGTGTTTTGAAGTTAAACTCAGTGTCTCGTTCTGGTTTCAGGCGTCCAGTCAGGAGGACAGAAAGAGGGACTTTGAGAAGATATTCACTCATTATGATGTTGTAGGTCTAGATATATGTTGATTTTCTATTCTGTGTTTATCTCTTAATTACTATTTTAATGCTTTCTTAACAATTAGCTCACTGGAGAGGGTCTTTTCTCACAAAGTTAAAATGGTTAAATGTGAAAGTTTGGTTACAAAACTGAAATATGCTGCTCACTTGATCATTTTACACATTATGTTAAGATGTTTATGTTTTCTTCTAGTGAAAGAGAGAAACCAAAGTAAAGTTGGATGCAGTTGCGTAGTAAATAAATGTGTTTTTGTTTAAGAGTAAGACGGGTGAGTTAGAAGGCCCTGAGGTGGATGGATTTGTCAAGGACATGATGGAGCTTGTCAAGGTAAAAAGAAACAGTTTCATCCTTCGTGACTTTGCAACATTTACATTTTAATGATCAGAAATGTCAGAGCCTACAGGTGATTTTTGACTTCGATTTTCTCCCATTTAACGATTTAATCACCTGAGGGTGCTACGCAGAGAAAGTTCACGAGTTAAATTTAAATCTAATAAAATAAAGGATGTCTAATTCAATCTAGCTCAATAAAAGTGTTATCAAACTTAGTACTTGGGTCAGTTCCGTTTATCTAAACAAAACATTTTTTTTTTTAATTCGTTTGGTTTATCAGGAAAAGAGTTTAAAAAAAAGCCAGACTGATGGAGGGTGATATATATATATATATATATATATATAAAAAATACTTTACACAAGTTTTCTTGTATATATACCCAAATTACATCCAGTATGTGGACTGAATGGTGATTTTAGGAACCCCCATGACCTTGTACAAGATTCTGTTTGAATGGATTGATGGATGGATGGATGGATGGATGGATGGATGGATG